CCCCAAAACCCCAAAACCCCGAGATAGCAATATTCCTTCAAATTTAATTAGAAAAATTAGATGAATACAGAATAATATTTGAATTTAGATAATAATTCAGAAATTAACTATAACTGCTATTAAGATTAAGCCTAAGATCTTCTAGACAGATTTGAGTAAAACTAAATTGATAAAGAATACATGATATGTGATCAAAACGATTAAAATTCACAACTTAACTCTCAGTGAAGCTTTAAATAAAGAATGCAGAGCTACATGAATCCAGAAGAAGACTACAATTATTATAATGAGATAAATGCAAAAAAGTAGTAAGACTTTAATGCCGGATTTATTCAAGAAGAAGTCAACGAGGTTCAGAGTCATACTACCGAGTAACCTGGATAAATCTTCAATAAATTTGACTTTAATTTTGATGATATAATGGAGTCAGGTCTAAAACTGAAATCAGGTAAGAAAAGATCTCATTGAGAAATGATGGCGAGTAGCACTACTACTTCTGTAGCTAAAGGGTAGCTATTAGGCAAGAAATTTAGACATAATACAGATGAATAATAGGTCAGCAAGTCACTATCAGACAGACTATGCCAAAAAAGTAAAATCTCTTTTGAGAATTTTAAAATGGAGATTCTCGAGTCACTTTTTGAGTTCCTTGATACTAATTTCTTAGTTGGTTACCTGTGCAAATGCTCCAAAACTCTGAGCTCTTAATTGAACCTTTATTTACAAGAGTATTGCAAAGATATTCAAATAAAAATTCCCAAGGTAGAAAACATTAGAAAAGAAAATAAAGGAATTGATGATTTACTAACTTGGAATAAAGAAGTGTAGTTCCTCATTAATAATCTTAGCTCAGCTTAGAATATTCAGATTGTTTGCTAGGATTTTAAAATATTTAATCCACTTAATGAGAAATTAGTTGGAAACTCGACTTTCAATAATATAAAGAAGTATGATGTGGGCATTTTCGATGAGGAGAAATTTCCTAAATTTATTACATAACAATCAGTACTTTACTCGTAAACCTTAACAAGCCTCACGCTTAGATTTAATAAGCTATCTGCTATTACTTCAGAATTGATAGTCAGGTTCTTCAGAGATAATATGACTATGGATTTTAGATAAAATATTAACATAAGATAATTGAGAATTGAATATAATGACAGAGAAAGAGAAGCAATTTTGAGTTTAATGACAGGAGTACTAAAAGACAATCCTTATCTGTAAGAATTCGAGTTAGTTTCACTTAATGGCTATACCTTCCTTAATGTTAATAATCTGATTGAAAACTTTGAAGATTATTTTGTTGGGCCAAATCTAAGGAAGCTTATTCTTCGAGAATCATTCAGATTTACTGATAAAACAAGATTTTTGGAAGAAGGAACTAACAATATTGAAGAATTAGTAATTAACAAAACAATATTGAATTAGAAGTTTTTCAAGTTATGCGAAAGGCTAAGAATTCTAAAATTATGCCCCATCAATTTTTCAGCAGAACAATTTGAAATAAATTTCGAGTAGTTTGTATTTGTGATTGAGTAGCTTGCCAGTAACTAAACTTTGACTTAGTTCGAAATAGGATTGAGACATGGAAATAGGAAAAAGAAGATATTCAATCAAGACCTTTACGAAAAAGAAAGAAGATATATGACTCTTTAATTATCAAGCGCTCTTGCTAAAGTTTTTGCAAACAATAAAACCTTGTCATGCTTAGTTGTATAATATAAGCATGCCAATTTTGAAGATTGTATCAAAATCGCTGAAAATTTGATATGCTCTGTAAAAGGAAGAGTTAATAATATTCGACTATTTAACAATTTCCCAATTTATGACTATATATTTGCTCATTACCCAAAGCTGAATCTGTGTGACTAAGCAAATGATTTTGATTATGCTTATTATGATCCAATCTATTGTGCTATAGTGGTAAAAATACTCCTACTTCAGTCTTATAATCTTAACAAGATTCAATTTAATCCAAACTTAAATGAAATTGAAGAATTTAAGAAAAGGTTGATATAAGAAGAAAAAGATTAATATTTGCATGGAGAAGAGAAAGCAAAATATTTTGAAAATAACATTAATAATTATGCTTAAGCAGTGACCAAAATGTATACTAAATACTGCGATCCATTTGATCAAGTACTTCTAAGCTCATTAAAAGGTATAGTAAAAGAAGAGATTGGTTCTGAATTCATTAATAGATTTGATTTAGGGTATATTCCCAAAAAGTATCATATGATTTTACTTTTCTTTCTAAGAATGAATCAGAGGATAAGTACTCTTCATGCAAGAGGGGTTAATTTGAAAGCTGATTTGATTAAAAATCTATTAAAAGATTTTGTTAATTTAAGAGAATTTACACTTTCATTTTCAGAGAGTGAATCTAAAAAAAGAGAAATAGGGGCTTTAATCCAATCAATTCTAAATAATTGGCAGCAGGTTGAGTTTTTATCGTTAGAAAATTTTTAGTTCAATGTTGCTTAATACAATGATAATCAACTCTATAATAAATTAAATGGCACATAAATTAAGCATCTAATGATAAATGATGTATATGTTTACTCTACTAAGCTTTACTCTAATCCTACTAAGCCGAAACCCACTCCATATCAAAGAAATCAGCAAGAATAACTATTAGATACTGTCCCTGAAAATAGAAAAATTGAGACTATCATTCTTCGTGATATGAGATTAGCTTATGGAATGTAATATGAAACAGAATTTTTGTCAAAATTCGTGAATCTCAGAACTTTAATAATAGAAATAAATGATTTGAGAGGATCTGATAGGAATTCATTTCCAAAAATGATTTAGGATATCACACAATCACTCAGCTGCCTAAGCCATTTAGAATGTGTTGAATTAAACTAGAAACCTGGGAACACAAGTTGTACATTTGACGATCATGATATAGAAAGTGAATAATCAGTTGCATTTTTAAGAGCATTTGAAACTTTATTGCACAGGAATAGGGAGCTCAAAAGAATAAATATTTTCTTTCCTCTTTAAATATAAGATCTTGGGAAATTTTCAGATATTGCAATCCCTAAGATTATTGGATAAGATGGTGAAAGTCTTCTCAATTTCTACTCATTAGATTGTGAATCAATAAGAGAAGATAAAATATAGCCTGATTTCATGATTAATAGTTATAACTGCTACTAATCTAAATAAAAAGAAGTCATAAATACAAAGAATTACAAATATAAAAAAGGCATTGCAAGTTTGCTCCCGCTGGTAGTTCTAAAATTGATGTCTTTCTTAAGAATCCCTAACAAACTACATCTATTTAAAAAAGAGATTAACATTGAGGAGGAAATTGAATTTAACACTATTTTAAATATGGCTAACTACAAAACATGCTTGAACTCTGATCTGACAGTTTTGATTGGAGTATCTTTAATGAAAAACCCTAGAATCTAAATATTACTTCTGACTAATCTCAATATTTATGATATTGACATATAGATTTTGACTTAAAATTTGAATAATCTAGCAGAACTTAAGAAATTATCCTTCAAAAGAAGTACATTTATGGATAGAATTAAGGAACTTGATAGAGTTTTAGCATGTATTCCTAGCTTAGAAGAAATTAACTTAAATATGACAAATATTCTTGCAATGCTGACATCACCAGCTGAATTTTTTACTGCCTTAGAAAAAAATATGACAGTAAAAATATTTCATGCTGCTGCTATATCACAGGATAATGAGGATGCAAAAAAGATGAAATTTTTATTGAGAGCAGTAAAGAAAAATAACAAAATAAAATATTTAAATATATCAGAAAATTATCTGACATCAGCTTGCTTTCATGTATTAAAGGATACATTTATAAAAAATAGAAGAATAAAGACTCTTAAATTTTATCTTGCCTCTTCAGATAAACTCTTTAATGAGATGTTTGTTGAGTTGTAAAGATTTTTTGAGGAAATAATTAGGAGAGCAACTACATTAGCTTTAAGAAAAATAATAGTATCTAAAGAAAATCAAATCAAATTCAAAAAGGAAATTTCAGAGGAGAAGAGTGTCCTTTATATTGGTGAAGGAAGGTAATTAGCAGATATAGTGTTTTACATTGAGAAGAGTAAAAGATTTATAGAAGCAATAAAAAGTATCGTAATCAGAGGGAGACTAGGGGAAAGTAAAGAATTTGCCCTCTATCTCAATGAATTCTTTAAAGAATGCATTAATTTAGAGACAATTATGTTTGTAAATACAAATCTTGGTGGATTGATGAGAAACTCAAAGAATGTTAATCTATTCAGAGATTTAAAGAGCACTAAGCTATAATATGTCAACTTGACTAGCACTGATCTGAAAAATAATATTGTTGAGAAGATTGTTTTGTCTCTGAAACCTGTTAGATCTATGCAGAAATTAAATATTTCAGACAACCCTGAAGTGGAACTAGCTCAGTTAAATCATATGTTCAAACTCAAGAAGATAAAAGTTAATGTTTAGGATGATTACATGATAACATTCCCAGAATGAAATTGACAAATTAATATTTTAATCAAAATTAAAACTTTAATAATCAAATTCTCTTCTACAGGGGTTTTGGGGTTTTGGGG